TTACTATTGTTTGCTAAGTCCAAAGCAGCTGAAGAACTCAAGACAACTTTTTCTCTTCTAGTTGTAGCTAAAGAAACACTTGTAATGAATTGAGTGGTCTGATGGTTATACACTGCAAAGGTTTGTGTAACTTTGTCTCTGCTGTGAGCAGTAGTAGTTACCCAATCCATAGTTGCGATTTTCAAATGCTACACCACTCATGAATGAAAAACTGCTTGTTGCTTTACCTGAAGGTGATAACTTTCAGGTCTGAAAGTGTAGCAGCCAGCTCTGAATTCTTTTGTGTTGAAATAGGCAACATAATATTGCTGCAAATGAGGTGAGATAATCTGAAGTAGGCCTTTCATCAACAAGATGACACTTAAGATTCTTCTTTTGCAACACCAAGTGAAGATGAATGTGCTCTGGTCCAATACTTCTAATGTTTTGAAAACAGTCGTTCCCTTTACCTTACAAGAAGAAAGGAAGGCACCTTGTATGAGGTATGTTCTCCTTGCAGTTTACTGACCTGTCTCCTTGCTTGGAAAGCACTGCCATAGGCTATGCGTACTTCTCAAGAGTAAGCAGTTGTTCACATGACAAAACTGTTTGCCATGCCAATACCCTGAAGGGCTGGCAATTCTGCAAAGGGCTATAGTATTCTGAAAGAGGTTTCTCAGCAGCTCAGTGCTTTTCAACCAAGAGAGCATATGTTCTATATTTAGTTCACTAGTTTAATCTACTGATTGGGTTGTAATTACTTGTTTGAATCAGTTGTATGCTCTGTTGATTTTATATGATTTTTCTAAATGCACTTGCAAGCTTTTGTGTGCAAGTCTGATCCTCAATACTTGTCTATGTAACGTGCTGCTGCAGAGGGATCAGTGATAGCATAGACTTCCACTAGCTTTCTATTTCTGACTGCCCTCTACTCTCCAGTCACATTTCCTGAGTAGATGCTGCTAGATCAGTTAGGAAACATCCTTGCTCGCTGTTGCTATTGATTTAGAGAATGCACAAGAGCTGCTTCAAAAGGCGACTGTTGGTGGTATGGCAGTGGAGGTTGAACCTTCCCACCATTACTCCATTAAATGCTGTTGCTGTGTGACAGATAGCAGCAGAGGGGCAGATGTGGAAGTGTGTGTGAAACAAAGGTGTGTCATTGAGTCTCTCCATGTGGAAGAAACAGTAGCAGTTGACATTCACTGATGCTTGCTGAACGCTGATGGAAACTAAAGAGTGCATGTGAGCGCGGTGTGGTGGCAGCTGGTGCATTTCAACACCATTGGGTCACCTCTGCTGGTACAGATTTTTACAAGCGTAGCATGCAGGCTCATTGCTGGTAAAAGTGCATAACTGATGGTGACTATGGTGAAAACTAATGTTTTATAGCTGAGAACTTGTTTATCAAATGATGTTACTGTGCTCTTTATCTCTTGTAGTTTGCATAGAAATAAATAAGAGGCATAATATTTGGAGCAACCTACGTATAAGAAAAAAAGATTACTGACAAGCAGAACTAATCTTTCTTATTGTACCCTTATACTGTTTGACTTCTCAATTTAAGGAAGTTGTCTCATCATAATGGTTTAGTGACTTGATAAAATCTTCTCAGCAGTTCACGTGTGAGAATGTTTGAAATACAGCAGTTGACAGGCAGGTAGAAGGTGATATTCTGGGGAGGAATTTCTTGCTGTGAAAACTGATATTCTTTTTTTCCCCACAGAAATGCAGAGACTGATGCATTAAAAGATTTTTTGATGCTTTTCTCTGGTGTTATGACTATTTTATCTTTTTTTTCCATAGCTTATGTAAGCATTAGAGTAGTGTGTCGTTAAATATGAGGCATCTCCTGACCTTTCAGAAAAGGTTGAGATGCCATTATGAGTGTCCTAAATCAGATCTGCTGAGTTCTTGTAATAGGATGCCAAAGACTTTTTACTTTTTCTCTCTTCCTTGTAGAAAGGCAGGAGAATTTTGTTTGAAGCTCTTTTGTTTTCTTCTAAGGCAAGAAACTGAATTAAGCAACTAAAGACCTAGATAGGCTTCAAATGGACTTTTCTGAAGTGCTTTATAGTAGAAATCTCTAACATAGCCTACTGAACTTTGTATGTTCAAGATAAAAATATTTAGAAGTTGGTGTAGTCAGTCCCCTGGGCAGGGCTGAAGTGTTCACACTGTCTGCATGTGAACATACACCTATGCCTAAACTATTGTTGCAGATTTTTAAACGGCCTGTTTGTGCTCAGATTAGAAGTTGATGGGCTGCCCAGCTGTGGGTAAAGGTCACCCTTTGATTCAGAATATGACATTTGATTGTTTCCATACACAGTGGTTATGATCTCTACTTCTGATCTCTGTGACACCATGCCCAATAAAGTGAACTGCAACAAATTCTCTTGCCCTCGTGTTGGGTAGGATAGAAATTATGCCATGGGTTATTTGTAGTCTGAGGAATTGCTGCCAAAATACCAGTGTGACCATCTGAAGTCGTCTCAGCTGCTGCAGCCGAGGTACACAGATAATCAGTATGAATTGATTCAGTCCATATATTTGCAAAAACATCACCAATGTCTACCTAAATTATCAAGCTAGCATCTCAAGATTGTAATTTTTTTATATATCTTCTTGTGTTATCAGTTCAACACCTGCAGCAATCAGGACTTTACAGCCTTCCATTCTTGGTCCTATATTCCCTTGTCTGTATACTTGAATTAGAAAGATTCTTGAGTTAAATGCACAGAATGGCATTTGTGCACTTTGTATTTTGAGTGTAACAGTGGTGGGATGAGGAGGAGAGCCAGAAGGCAAAACTCATCATGAGTCATTCAAGCTGAATAACTGGATTTAGAGGTCCTGTCTCTCTAATATCAGCTGAAATTGACTTACGTAGTTAGGTTTGTTTCTGCAAACTTCAACAGTTTTCAAATAAACTTCATAATGTGATAAAAGCAGAATCTGATGGTTGGGGTATCATGGTCTCAGTTTGCTTTGGCTATTAGCTGTTTTGAGGTATAGATTCTGATTTTATTTTTGTAGTAGATTTGGCATTTGTCTTAGGAGAACATAAAAGCATTCATTATTAACTTTACATATTCTTTTCTTGCTTTCCTTAGAGAACCAGATTAGTCATTTTTCATTTGTGCCAGGAATTACAGAATCATTGGAGTTGGAAGAGATCTCTGGAGATTTTTCAGCCCAACGTTTCTTCCTATTCCTGTGATCCCTAAAGTGGGGTCACAGACACTTGTCCTCTCAGATTTGAACACTTCTGAGGAAAAAGGCTGCACAACTTTTCTTGGCATCCTGTTCTCAGTCTGTGATGACTGTCACATTTTAGGGGGGAAATGCCCATTGTCTCTTTTTTTTTTTTTTTTTTTCCCCACTAGGTATCACTGAGCAGATCCTGGCTCTGTTTTCTCTACTAACCATGTCAAATAGTAATACATTCTAATAACATTCTCTGCTCTGAGCCTTCTCATTCCCAGGCTAAACAATTCCAGCTTTTTCAGCCTTTCTTGATGTCAGGTGCTTTAGGTGCAACTATCTTTGCTGGGCTTGCTCCAGTAGCTCTACATCTCTTCTGTACGAAGAGCAATAAAGCTGAATGGACCTGCGAGTTATGTGCTCGTAGACATGAGCCAGAACATAATGGCACAGAGTAATAATGGTAAAGAGACTCCAGAGGTGTCTGTTAAGAATAGGAGAGGATCCAACAATTTGGTTTAATGCTCTGCCATGTATGGTCTGTGTACATTTTGCCAATGATTACCTTGGCACTCCTTATAAGAACATAAGGGTTTATATTTGGTTCTAAAGTCCAGCTTGCAGGTTTTGTATAAGATTTTGCAGATGGTAGTAAAGGAAAGATTAGTCAGAAGAGAACCAGTGCAGAAAATGGGGTTTGCTTTTGTGTGTATGTGTGTACAAAGTTTACCTAGCTCACAACTTGCAAATCAGTGGTTAAAAGAACTTACACAACTTAGCTGTTAAAGCAAAAGCAAAGGCAATATTTCTTCTATTTTGATTGTTATTGGTACAGATCTGTCTTGAGCAGATGTCAGGTGGAGTTTAAACTGTGTGTGTGAGGCACTGTAGTTAAACTTGTGGCAGTTATAGACTGGGAGATGTTAATTTTTCCAGTTTCAGCTGAGGTTTCTGAATTACTTTACCACTTTTCCCCTTCAGTGAAATGGTTTATCCATTTGTCTGCTTTATCTTCCTCCAAGAATGGTTATGCTTTTATTAAAGCTGAGTATTGTAGACCTCATTTTGCTATCAGGCAAATATTGTTGCAATATGAACTTTATGCATTGTTGACTTCTGTAAGCTTCTAAGTTTACTCAACAGAATGTATCTTGTTTAGCAACTGAAATCTGTGACAGCTTGTCATGACTAAGAAGTCTTATTTCCTCCTTTTTCTCCCTAATAGGAGAAGGTGTTAGCACTAAAAGGATGTTGCAAGATAGGGAAAATGCAGTCATGATTATTGCCTTAGTAGCACTTAAGTTGTGCATGTTTCAGTATGTGGACAAGTCTTCTGTCAGACCTAGATATCAATTGTTTTTCTTCTGTAGAAGCCAGTTAATTATTTTGACAGGATTTTCAAGTCTAAGTTTTGACATGGCTATTGATATCCCTTTCATAGTTGTTCTTCAATAAGATTTCTGAATTTATCATTACTTACCTTTGGGATTTCCTCAGATGTAGTTTATTTAGAATGTGAATGTTGCTCATAAGACATTAGATATTTTTCTAGAACACTGCCATGGCATAGTAATGAAGCAAAGTAAGTGCCTCAGGGCTATCCTATAATGCTGCGTGCTGTTTGGTTCCTAGAGCCACATGTTCTGCTTAGTATCTGTGTTATCTTTTTAAGCATTAGAAGAAATTCACCATCCTGCATGTATCCAGTTATTTAGTTAAACTTTCTCTTAACAGAGATTTTATAGTAAACCAAGTGCATGCTGTGACTCAAGTACCAAACTCAGTCCTTCACAGGTATTTCTTTTCTCTTCTAGATGAAGAGAGGGCCTACTAATAGATCACAAAGCAGAGTGAACCAGGTGACAGCTGAGGCTGTATTCACCAAGTAAACTTAGCTGTCAAATGTTTTTGGGAGTGTTTCATGAACAGTGGGAGACAGAGGCTTTCTAGGAACCAAGGCCTGGTGGTGGTCATCTGAATTGGTAAGAAAATATGGAATATGATTGATCAAATGAAACTGAGTGTTCCATGCAGAGAACTGACTGAGCTTCTTTTAAGTGTGGAAGTGGTGCTATTTCTTCTTCTCTGCCTGTAAGTGTGTGGGAAAGAAGACTGTTTCTAAGCAAAGGGAAGAGGAAACTGTCCCATATTTATTAAGCTGGTTTCCTATCAGGAAGTATGCATTGAGATTATATGTTTGGCAAGCAGGAGTACATATTTTGGCACATACTTCTCACTTTGTAACTTTAACAGCTTGCCAACATTGCAGGCAACATTAGCAGCAGCCTGTGTCCCAGACAGTTTGGATTATAAATCCCACTGTCTGCCTGCAGTCAGGGAGAAGGTTCTGTGGGGTTGGATAATACTTGGTGTCCTTGGTTCTTTTTCTGTTTCTAGTGCACAGGAGAAAGGGTGAGGAACAGTTGGAGGAGTGAAGAAAATGGTTACAGTGATAATAAACCTCTCTGTATCCTAGTTGAATATCCTATGAACACTTACCTAAATTTGAGCATGTTCCAAGCCAGTTGCAATGGAACCAGTCATCTGCAATCAAATTGTATCTGAAAGCTACTCTTTAAACCATTGTTTGAGTGTGCCAGCCTCCAGAAGTACAGATGACATTGCCCACACAAGCATTCCAGAAATTTTGTATGCAGTCTTTTCTTGCTTATCAAATGCAAAATTTATCCCTATTCTTTCCACAAAAATACTAATCATATGCCTAAAACTTCTATAGAGCCAAACATCATGCCATGAACTTCAGATTTCAATTTTAAGGTGCGTATTTATAACTCATTTGACAAGAACAGGGATGAAAATGCAGTTAAGCGTAGAAATGTTTTTTGTTTTGAATTTGTGTGATAGTGACGAATGTGCTATTAAAGTAGGTTAGATATTTTAAAGAAAATAAAACTTCTGAAGTTTAAAGAAAAGAATCATAGAATTATTGAATGTCTTGGGTTGGGAGAAACTTTAAAGCTCACCCAGTTCCAACACCCTGCTGCGGGCAGGGTTGTCACCTACCGGATCAGACTGCCCAACCCTTATCCAGCCTAGCTTTGAACACCTCCAAGGATGAGGTAACCACAGCTTCTCTGGGCAACCTGTGCAAGCAGGTGAAAAGAACTGATAGAACTGCATGGAAAAGATTCAGAGGGAAGGACTGGATTCCAGTATCCTTTGGGTTTTTAGGAGAGTTTTCAGGAGAACTTAGTACCTCTTCAGCAGTTTCTGAAAACTCTAAATTGTGAATTTATGTTGAAAGCTTTAGGAGTTGGGATAACTGCTACAGAGACAGGTTATTTTATGTAAACTGATGTACTCAGGTTTCTGAAGTTGCATAAAATATTCAAACTGCATTAAAGTGATCTTGTTCACTTCCTAAATTAGTTGAATACAGTTCTGAGGTTTTTCAAGAATATTCAATTTACAGAACTATTCTTTCTGTAAATAGAATGTTTTAAAAACTCAGATGCGTTTTATTATCCTTCAGCGGAATGAAGAGTACCAGATCATGGAACTGCACGCATCTTTCCAACTTCTATTTTTAAGCACTACTTTTTTTAAACTCTTTATAAAATTTCTGATTGTTCCTTTTAATGTTAAGGATACGTACTGTCTTTCAAGTTAATTCTTTAGGAATACTGGGGACAAATGTGTAAGGAACGCTTATTTGGCTGTAGCAGTTAAATGGACTTTCTCTTTTTTTATTAGAATGTGGTGTTTGTGTTTAAGGCAGAAATTTTTTTAAGAGCCAGGATGATTCATCAAATACTAGGAATATGTTTAGGATAGATCTGTGTCTTGAAATGAAAAGGAAACTTGTCTACTGATATTCTTTTTATAATACATGGCTAATATGAAATTGTATTTTTTTGACATGTAAATTCCCCTGTCTTTATATACGGTTGTGTGAAGTGTCTGACAGTAACAAATTATGGGTGCTCTTAGCTCAATTAGCGCAATCATGTCTGTTAGTCTGCAATTTGTTGTAAGATGTAGCTTTTTAAGTTTGCAATGAAGAAAGCTGCAGCTGCAAAGAGGAAAAATTGATGACTGTGCTTATATGAGCTACTTGCTATCCTTCAAAGGAACTGGATTAATAGAATAATTTGTTTGTTTTTCTTCAGAGAGAGCACTGAAGTGCTGCCAGCCGGACTGCTGAAATAACTGCATAGTATTCTGTAGACTTGATTATATCTGTCATATGTAAAGTGTTTCATATCCTATAAGAGTCAGGGTTTTGAATACTGCTTAGTCATTAAAGATAAAGAGGTGTTTCTTTTCATCTAGCATGAAGCCTGAAAACTAACTTAACATCTCTGCTGTGTCTGTGCTGCTTCCTGAACGCATTCATAAGTCTAGACTTCCTCCACGTAGGGAGTCAAAAAGCTTATGAAGCTTGATGTTGATACCTGTAGCTGTCTCTTGAATTAAGGAATCTGAATCTTATTCCTGAGGACTCAGTAAGGAATAGTGTGCTGAAGCCATAGTTGAAGACAAAAAGTATATCACTGTGATACAGCTTCAAGTAGTAATATAGTTCATTCTTTTAAATTGATGTTAATTAGCAGGAAATGACATTATTTTCATGCTATAAAGGCAATACAGACTTAATCTGCAAAGACACGAACAGAAAGGCTATCAAAATGATAAGTGTGGAGCTCTTAGCTGAGAGCGTTCGTTCTTGTTACGCTCCTTGAAGTAATGACAAAACGTTATGATGTTGTATTTTAATTGCAGATCTGTATTTCTTTGTTTTGATTTGTACGATGGTCTTGCTGGCTGCAAAAAGCCACTTTCCAAAGTGGCAACTCAAACCAAGAACAGCAATATTACGTATCAGCCTCTGGGAGTTGTGCTGTGATTGCTGACCGTAGCTGTAAACAGGGTATTCGCGTTTTTTCCTCTGAAGGAAAGAAGCTTTAGCTCAACATATTTAGTTCACCTGTTATTTACTTGAAGAAACACAGCTGGCAATCTAAAGAAACTGTTAGTTCTGTTAGGAGCAAATCTGTTGCACACTTGAAAGCTTTTCTTTTATTTCTTAATAGTCAGGAGTTCATTAGAGTACAAAGGGTAGAACTTCTACAACAGGCTTCTATTAAGACAGTTCCTATAAATCTTTTGTTGAATCTTTGTCTGGGAGAAACTAGTACTTGTAAATACAGTGAATGTTAATGGGGAGAGTTTATTTTTTCCATCTTCCTTATGATCATGTGCAAGTTATTTGCTTTAAACACTGTTTGGATGAAGTTGAGTTTTTGTGTAAATTGTGAAGCTAGTAATGACTGTTCTTAGAGAATAGTTCTTAGACACTTAAGAATGAGCCTCTGGCTGAAAACTGCTGGCAACTTGCAGGTATTGCAGATACCAAGTGTGCTACTGAAGATGTCATACATGCAGATTTCATAAAATAACTTAAATATATTTATATTTATAGCCTAAGTGTCTGTAGAATGCAAGTAGCTGATGGCAGCTGTTCAGTCAAATGAAGTGTAACTGTAAACAGACAGCTGTAAAGGGATGAAGAATTTAAAGTGTAGGCTTGTATAGTAATTCCAAGCCAAACAGGAATGCTTCCTGAGGCACTTCTCTGAATTATCTTACTGGAGCCTCCTGAATTGAGCTGTAACTGGAAACAAACTTGTTTTATTTCAGAAGTAGTATTATACTGATTTTTTTTTTTTTCTTCTCTACTTCCCGTGGGGAAAAACAAAGTTCTACTTAAATGCTTAATGTAAATCCCCTAGTGAAAGCTGGTAGAAATGATTATACAAAAGTTTGCCAGACAGCTGCTTTTTAAAAAAAAAAAAAAAAAAAAGTGTCTTACATTAATACTGCAGACAAAGTCATGTCTTTGTTTATTTGAACGGAGAAGGTATAGACCAAGATTGCCTTTGTTGTTTGCTTTTCTTGAGTGTCTTTTGTCCAGGAATTGATTTATAGGTTGGAGGGCTGGTAAGGTCAGTTAAGCTGCAGCCTGGAATGGAAGGAGGTTTATTGGGGTAGAGATTCTGTGCCTTGCCAGCTTTAATGGCTCAGAGTGCTGAGACTGATATTTGTAGCCTATTCTGCCTACCTATCTTGCCCCATCTTGTGCTTGCATTTATGATGGTAGCAGAGAGTAAGCTAGTAGCATGTCTTTGCAATAGATCTGTATTGAGAGGTGGAGGCAAGCTAGAAAAGCTTGGTTCCTGTAGTGTCATCACCTGCTTATTATTCTCCTGGCTGAAAATGGGTGGACTTCTGTGGTAGGTTAGAAATTAGAGCAGAGAGGAACCAGGAGCGTGGTCTGAAGGCAGCAGGACAAGGGTCACTGTGCAGTGAAGCTGGGAAAGTCACCGGGACTCCTCAACTGTGGGATGAAGGATGGAAGTGAGAGCGTGTGCTGTTGCTGTGGTGAAAAGAAATTGGACTGGAAAAAGTTGCACCTTATCAGTCCTGCTGAGTCCCTAAATTGTTCTGGTCTCCCTCTTGTCCCTTTGTGTGCTGCTCTGTCCCAATGAATGGTTAATAGTCTTACTCATGTGACTGGCAAATCTTAAAAATCTATGTATCCGCTATATTTAAATCTTTGTGACTTGCTTCTAGAAAATGTATTCATAGTAAGTAATATCATGCACCTCTTCTGATAGGTTTGTTTTTCTTTATATGCCAAGAATTAATAGGAAACAAAGATGCTAGAAATGGGAGTAAAGGTAGAAAGAATATTGAAAAGGCTTGATGCTTCAATAATGTGTACAAAACTTAAAGCTAAGGTAATTTGAGAAATGTGGTGTTTGACCTATGAAAGTATTCTAGCTTGCTGTTGAAATCAGATGAACTAGCCAAACCAGTAAATCAAGTGTGCAGAAAATGCACTATTTTGAAAAGTCCCCATTCAATACATACTTCATAAATCAAATAAATATGTTCACTGGCACAAACTTTAATTTTTAAAAAAGTAAAAGCAGAATTTGTTTAATACTGGAATGACGGG